TGTGTGTGTGTGTGTGTGTGTGTGTGTGTGTGTGTGTGTGTGTGTGTGTATTAAAACTAAATTTGGGGGCATGTATCCTGTGTCAATATAATTTTACCTTTAATGCCTCCTACTGTTTATGTCTATTGTCTCTCACACCCATTCTCTCATTCCACTAACACTATACAATGCTTAAGATCACTATCATATTGTTCTAAACACTGTTGATTTTTTTTTCAGGGAGCTGAATTCCAACCAGTTTGAGAGATTTTCGTCCAAGATCTTCGACTCGCCAAATTCGATCACTGAACTGTGAGTTGTTCATGTTTTGTTTTGTTTTATAGCGTTTAGTTTTGCATTTTATATGTGAAATTGCAAAGTAACATAACATGCTCCTTTTTCGTGTGTGTATAAGTCCCGCACAAGGAAACTCACGTAAAGTCTGATTCCCTGTAAAGACTTCTCTGTTCACACCCACCCCTTGGAGCTCATATGACCTTAGGCATTTGCGAGCGCCGTAAAACCCTCTACATTAAAAAACTCAAGTAAGTAAGACATATCATAGAAAAACAGGTTGTCAAAGTCAAGAAAAATATCACTCACTCGCGACTACTCTTTCCACAGAAACTTGATGTCTAACAAGCTGACAGAACTCAGGAAAGGGGATCTGGACGGCCTTGGGCATTTGCGTCAGTTGTAAGTAAAATTAATGACATTTACCGCTTTAAACAGAATAGTGCCTCATCCTGCTGGGTTAACTAAAATTAATATCATAATAATATAATGTGTTTATATCGTAATATTGCTACCTTACCAGTACACAGTTATATCTGCTCAGTACCTAGTTTTGAGAAACTCGACAGACACAACAAGTTTGAATATCACAACATGACAAGATTTTCGAATGCAGTACTCTGAATAAATAATATCTTGATAACGACTCCAAATCATCTTACGATTTTTATAGAGCAGATAGAACCTCATGGTCTTAGTAATTCAAAATGGCCAAAAATATCAGATGGAAAAATGTAATTCTAAGTAAACGATGTGTCTGCATATGCTGCGAGCTGCGGACGAATCACAATCAGAGTTTTATTAAGGCTGTATCCTACTTAAATTTTTTTAAGTACTTTATGTGACGCTATTTCCAATCCCTGGAGGATAAATTGAAATAGGTTTGCTTTTCAAATAAAACGACCCTTTCTTCATTTTATCCAATCAAAAAGCGACATAAATTTCGTAAATGCCAACCTGCGCTCTTGTTGGTCTTAGCGTGAAAAGAACATATTGATTCAAATAATCGAAATCATTATTTCCTTTTATTTTTGGTTGCTGTGTTGGCTCTTAATGTAGCTTTCCACTAGAAAAGCTTATTTCAGTCAATTATACAGCGTCTATTTTCTACTAACCAGACAATAAAGAGTGTTGTAAAAAGGACAACATTGCAATAAATGATTCAATGACGTAAGATTTGGTCCTAATGTGAATCTATGGTTGACTATTATTTTTTATACCTCGGCTAACTAAGAACAGCTTCGGTGAGTTCTCTTCCACTTTCTCTCTCTCTTTCTCCCTCTCTTTCTCCCTCTCTCTCTTTCACTCTCTCTCTCTCCACTCTCTCTCCCTCTATCTATCTATCTATCCATCTATCTATCTATCTATCTGTGTGTCTACATATCTATCTATCTATCTATCTATCTATCTATCTATCTATCTATCTATCTATCTAT